GGCTGAGGCTGCAAGCCAGGACCCCTTCCTCCAGCCCCTCTCCCAGCCTAGCGGAGATAGGGAGGGAGCCCAGAGTGGGCCTTCCTCTGGGTACCCCCCTGGGACGACTGCCACCAGGCCTCCTGCGGTGGCTGCACCCCCTTCCTCCTCCCAGGCCTCATGGGCCACCCTGGCCATGGCTCAGAGGGGCGGAGCCCGGTGTCTTGCTGAAAACCTGTCCCCAGATGGCCCTGTGGTTAAAGGATAGAGGTGCACCCCCTAGGGACCCCACCTGTCCTCTGCCGGTCCCCTGGGGCGCTCTTCCCTGAAAGTCCCCTGGCCACAGGCACTAGCTTAAGGGGAGCGGGGGTGGGGTGCTTCTCTGGTGCCAGGAGGGCCTCAAGGGGACCAGAGGCCCCAGCCAGCTGGCCCTTCCCCTCATACAGAGGCCTCTCTGTCCCCACAGCTGCCAACTCCTCCCCTAGCCCCAACGGATTGTCTGGCCACCCCTGCCACTCCATTCAGGACAAAGCCACCTTCTCCTCCACTGTCCTCGGGTCCCCATCTGGGGACAGGCCTCCCCTGGGCTCTGCGGCCCTCAGTCTGGCCGGACAAGCTCTGCAGCGGCCTCCTCACGGGGTAGCCTGGTGAGAGGCCGTGCATTACCCTGGCCAGTCTGAAAGGGAGGCCCTGCTTTCTTCAGTCTGGCCCTGGGGGACCCTCTGGAAGCCCCAGAACTGCCCAAGAACCAGCTCCTTCACTCTTGTCCACCCTCCAGACTGCCCCCTGCCCTGAGCAGCACCCCCACCCCAGTTCTGCAGCTCCACTTTCTAAGCCAACTTCCTAAATCAGACACCAGGACTAAGTCAGTCAGCAGCCGAACTCCCTCTGGGCAGGGCACAGCATGCTGAGACGAGCTCTTAGGACCCCTGTCCTCCCCTGCCAGCCTGCCCCCCTGGGTGTGCCAAGGTGCCTGAGTCTTAAGCCATGGAGCAGCTGCTCCGCCCACGAGTGGCTTAGGACTTCTCCTCTGGGGGTCCTCCCTGTGTCATGGGACATAGGGTCAGATGGAGTCTGTCCATCCTTGGCTTCCCTTACTGGCCTGGTCAGTCCCGCATTCAGGCTGTTTCTCTGGCAGCCTCACCCACCGTGTGCTCAGCCCGAGCCCACTGGGCCCCTGAAGAAGGCCGCTCTGCCTCGGGTTGAAGGCGCTGAGTCCTTGCTCACTTGCTCCGTCACCTGTCCTCCCCCGGAAGTCGGCTTAGACCTCCAACCCTCCTTGCTTCCACCTGCTGGCCGACATGGTGGCTCCTGAGGTCTTTGTTCTCAGGGGGCTTGGTAGGCACTCTTCAGGCAGCCAGCCCATGGGGCCGTCCTGAGGGGGTCACAGTGGGAATCCTGCCAACGAGGGTTGCGGCGGCCGAGAGGAAGGCCACCATAGGAGCTAGCAGCCAGCAGCAGGGGACTCAAGGCCAGCAGCGGCCAGGCCTGAACCCACCACTGAGTGAGCACAGCTTCACAGAGTTCTTGGGCATGGCCCTTAGCTGGTTTCCAGGGTCTGCTGGCTCGTGGCCTTGGCCTTGCCCACAACAGTCCCAGAAGGGGACTACAGAAGCGGGCTGGACTGGGCTTGGCCTGGTGTCCTTCCTGTTTTGAGCTCCGACCCCTTCCTCCCTCCTCTGAGTGAGTTGCAGTGGCCTGGCCCTTACCCATCCCTTCAGCTGCCCCTCCTAGAGGCTTCCCCCACCCCAGGTGGTCCCTCCGCCCCTGGGCTTCTCTTCTCAGCCCCATCCAGGCTGAATACTCTTCTTACTGAGACAGCAGAGTGGGACAGAGTGTGGCCAGGTGGCTCCTGCTGTACCTTGCACTGGGCAAGGGTGAAGGCATGGATAAGAGACTACCTGGTCTTTCCAAGGACCTGGTCCTGAAACCCTTGGAGGAGGCCTGAAGTACCTGGTCTCAGACCTGCCCTCCTCAGGGGGACAGGTCACAGCCCACCCCACCCAGGGGCCCTCCCACCTGCCTGCTCAGCTTCTGCTGGCCCCAAGGCACTCCTGCTCACTCAACCCGACCGCTAGAGCACAGGTGCCATCTCTGCTGCTCCACCCTGCCACTGGGTGATAAGAATGCCATGGACTCTGGCCTGGGCATGGCAAAGGCACCCCACCTCCCCACCCCCAACCTGGGTTCCTGCTGAACCACCTTACCACCTGCACAGGCCGCTAAAGCCCAGCAGGCCCAGCCTCAGCCCGAACCCCATATTCCTCCAGGTCTGGGACTGTTATGGAGCACCCACTGTGTACTGGCTAAGGAGCCCTGGGGGCATCATGGTTATAAGTGGGGCTACTAACCACAAGGTCCGCAGTTCCAAACCACCAGTCGCTCTGAGGGAGAAAGATGAGGCTTCTCCCTAGAGTTACAGTCTCCCCTTTTGATCATCCTGTGCCTTCGAGAAAATCTATCAAGGTGACCCTTTTTGAATTCCCCCAAACAGTTTACCTCTTTCCAGAAGTAGACCCCAGATCATCTTTTTTTTCCTTCGGTTTATTTTATTTATTTATTCTTTTCTGGTCCATTTTAGTCTGTAGGGTCCCCTGAAGCATCACTGCCGCCAGGAAGTCTCCACTACAGACAGGGAGCGCCACACGGGAGGCAAGCTAGCCAGAAATCAAAGCCACACCTCCCAAGTGAAAAGCAGGAATGGTGTCGCTGGCCACACAGCCATTCTGAGAGTCCCGCCTGGAGTCTTTGGATCTGGATGGCCATGGTCACATGCTCCTTGCTGACACAAAGCTCGGTGCTTCGATCCCCAGCGATGCCGACATGTCTGAGACATTAACCCAGGAATGCCTGGGCTTACCATGTCAGAATCCCCTCGATATTCTTTGTTGCATGCCTACATAGAGCGCGTGCGTTCTCTCCCTTTACATGCACATATGTATGTTGATGCATCTGATTATCTGTACCCATGTGGCAGTTACATAACCTGTCAAATTGAGAAGGGGTGGAGTCTACCCTGTCAATCAGGTCGCAGCTTGATGGCCTCATTTGGAGGCCCTACTGGAGATAAATAGCTCCCTGGAGGCCAGATACACAGAGACCTTCCGCTTGTCTTCCTGCTGACAAGCCACATGGAGACCCCTGATGGAAGCAGAGCCCTGGGGCTGGAGGAGCCACATGGAGACACCTGCCAGCACCTAGACGCTTCCACCACCACTGCATCCACAAGACTTTCCACCCACTGGCCTGTGATCTTCCTGCGTTCAGTGTCATCGCATGGCTGAGTGAATCTAAAGAGGAATTTATGGACTAGTATCAACATTTTGGGATAATATTGGACTTATGGACTTGGTCTGGACTGGGTTGGGATGTTTTCTTAATCTACAATTGCTCTTTGATATAAAGTTTTCTCTCGCACATATGAGTGTCTATGAATTTGTTTTTAAGACAACACATTTCTCCTCTGTCTATGGAATTTTATTAAAAAAGAATTAGTCTTGGAAACCCACAGGGGCAGTCTGCCCTGTCCTATAGGGTGGCTATGAGTTGGCATAGACTCAATGGTAGTGAGGGCACATGTCATGAGTCACACCCACTAAGGTGATCAGGGGTCCAGAACAACCCTGTAAACTTTTCTCATCTGCAATAGGCTGCCTGTCCTGATCATGGCTCCTTGCTCGCCTCTGCGACTGTGGTGAATCGGCCAGTGCCCACTGCCCACCACAACTCTGTTAGCTTTCTCTGTGTCTGGGAGACTTGGACACCACATGGTGGCCTCGCTAATTCAGTTGACTGGTCTTTGTCCTGCTTAAGGCCTAAGAAGCGGGTCTCTCCATCACATTGTCACATTGCCTGGTGGCCTGAGTGTGGATCAGCTGGGCGGCAGGGAGTTGGTTTTGTTTTACATTGGGGGCCGCTTTAAGGGTCAGTAAGAGTCAAAACAAATTCCATGGTCGTGA